TCCCGGCTGGGTAGCTTGTCCCAGCCCCAATCCCTCCCTCCCCCTTCTTCTCTTCCTCTTCCCCCAACCCCAACAGATTTACCGGCTGCAGGCAGCTGTGTCAGCTGCCTGTTTAGTCTATGGCTGAATCACCGAATCTTTTCTGAATTATTTCTGAATCTATTTGGATGCTTCAAATTGATTCGGAGCTTTTAATTGGTCTCCCAATTCAATTTAGACTTGGAGATTTGGTCCCTGAATCAGGTTGAATCTCCTCCAAATTGAATCGGCTATCAAAGCTTCTCACAGCCCTACAATACATCTCTAATTACGCCACTACTGAAAGCAACCCATTTCACCTGGTTACTGCTAACAAAGTTTCAGTTTACCCAAAGGAGCTGTTGGTTTGCAAAATAAGCAGTGGTTGCCTTCTCTAGTCCCTGAAGGTAGTTGTGGTTTTTCCATGGAAGCTCAGAGCCCATAAGCTTCTAGGCAGTTGGCAGAGAAGACCTCTGGTAGATATAATAACTAGAAATTATTAATCTACTGGGTTTCAAAAGTCTATTTCTGGGCTAGGTGGAAGTTTTGTTAAACAATGGCACCTTTTTTGCATTTGGCCACAGGTAAAGGTTGAGTTTACAAACAAAAAAAAGGAACAAATGATTATCCATTTTATAAGATAGTTTGAGCAATGATATCTGAGTAATAGAGCTTGATGTAAGGAATATTTGGAAACAGTGCATTTTTGCATATGTTTTTATTGTCTCTGATATGTAGAGCATATAATATTAATGGAAGTTCTCTAGTAGTTCACTTTTTTTCACCAGTAATTCTCTTTACCAAGGTCTGTTTATTTTTATTTATTAGCTAACTAGCTCATGTCAAAACCCTGTTGTGTGTTGTGGTGCATTTCTCCTCAGAAGTGGAGTATATTGCCAGTAAAATTCTGGAAAGTTCTACCAAAATCTTTCTCTAAGTATTGCTTGTGCAGTTAGTTGTTGCTGATGGGTTACATAGTCAGTGTTAAAATACCGCAAGCGAATTTGCCCTCTGCAGGATGTGGGTTATTGTTTTTCCCTTGACCATGTGCAGCCTCCAGATTCTTTGTTCTTGCAGGCTGCAGGACGATTAGGTACAGGGACACCTTGCCAACTTATTCAGAGATTTTTTTCAATGGACCAGCCATGTCAGGTTAAAGACGAATATTACATCCTGCACCACAACACCTGGGCTGAATGTATGTACATGAAACATTCTGTATTCATGTTCTGTTGTGAAAACATTGTTGTAGGGAGATGATTCTCAACCAAGTTGACACCTGGGGGTGTCACAAGAGCCTCTGAAGAGGGCCACACGAAGTGTGAAGATATAAACAGGTAAGGGCAGTCTCAGGCTGCAGATACGAGGAGGAGAACAGGTAAGAGCAGGATCAAGCTCTCCCTGCTTGGCCACTTCCCCACCCCTACTGTCTGGTCCCCCTGCAAGGAGGTAAACATTGTAATAAATAAAGTAATGTTTTAAATGGGATGCCACTCAATTCACAACAGTTATGGAGGGATGCCTTGAGCCTGACAAGGCGTGATGAGTGAGTAAATAAAAATTGAGAACCACTGTTATAGAGGGTTTCATCAAATACATTGATTCTGGCAGCTGAACAGATCCAGGTTCTTCCTGCCAGCTCGTGTGACACATGCTCCTAAACACAAGACTTCGTATCTTCATGTGGACTTCATATCTTCATGGTGAAACCACTTATACCATTTTCTACTGCTCGTTCCAGATCATCAGTGTTACTGCTGCTACTGGAGCTGAATGAATAATTTTCAATGAATGAGGTGTCTGGTGGATCTAGCTTCTTTCTGCTGTAAGTATGACTGAAACAGACTTAATTTGAAGCATTGTGTAAATGTTTACAGACATTTCCCTCTGTACACATCCTGTCCTATTGCAACATAATAGGAAGCAGTATGGCTGGTAGGGCTGTGCAAAACAGCACTGTTTCGTTTCAACTTCCATTTTGTCATTTCTACAGGACAGTGTTTGCTTTCAAGTTTCATTTCATTTTGAAACCACTGTTCTGTTTCATTTTGTCAAAACTATTTCACTGTTTCGACACTGTTTTGATATTTCACCCATAGGCTATAATGGGGAAGCACAAAACTGCCTATAACATTGTCATTTTGTGGCAGATTTGAATGAAAACAGCAGAGATGATAGCCCCTTCTGAAGCCATGACGCCTACCAAATTTCAAGGAGGTAGGTGCAGCGGTTTCTGGGAAACTGCACTTCAAGCTGCTGACAAGCAAAACTCATGACATGTATGACTGTCTGTGTATGTGTAAGGTGCAGCCTCACTGGCGCTGGGGCGTCTACATGATATGGTAGTGTGCCCCAATGAGGTCTCCTCCTCCCCTACAGCCTCTTCCAGTCCACCACTTTAAATGACAACAGGTAATAACTTAGTAAGCAGCACAGTAGCACCAGCAGCATATCAGGCAGCCAAACTGTCACAATCAATATCAGAGCAGTCCTTCCCGCCTCTTCCCCCTCCATCTCCTTAGTTTCTGTTTCCCTGCAGGCAAGCCCAGCTTCAGCTTTGAAACTCAAAACATTTCAGAACTTTTGGAATGTTTCCATTGCCCTCGTTTCGTTTTGAGGCTGTTTCAAAGCCCTTCGTTTCATTTTGATTTTGTTGTTTTGAGCTCAAAAAGAGTCTAAACAGCATCAAAATGAAACAGCTGGTGAAAATTCATACAGCCCTAATGGCTGGTTTGCTATTGCTCTAGCTACTGCTGTTCTTGCAGGTTACTTCCCATATAACTTTTAATAACCTCTTGCCTACAGGTGCAGCTTGTTTATTTTTGCTCAGTTATAGGCAACAGAAATTCATGTCCCTGTTTCCCTAAACCAGGGGAATCAAAGATGTGCCGCACATGCTGGATCTGGCCCCCACAGGCCTGTTGTCCAGCCCTGATGCTGCCCCTGGTTCTCAAAGTGGACCCACAAACTGCATGTGGCATGCACAGGACCAGCCCAATGCTCAGAGACTGGGACCTGCACCACACGTGGTGCCCACCCCAGCTGCTCCAGGACCCACTCCACATGGATTTCCTCACAGCAGCCCCTTTAGGACCCACACTACACACAGTGGCCATTCCAGCCAGTCTGGCATCCACACCACATGCACTGTCTGTCCCGGGACCCATGTTGCAAATGGCATCAAGTCCAGCCATGTAAATTGCAGTGTTAGGTGCAGATCGAGGACTAGCTGGAATGGGTGTTGCTTGCAGCATGGCTTTGGAGCAGGTGCCACAGGTGCAGGATCTGCACCTAACACTGCACCTAAAATGGACCATACCAACACCATTCATTTGGTCTCTGGGGCCAGATGAATTTGATACCCTTGCCTGAATCCAACGTTGTCATGTTGCTCTGCTTTCCTGATGAAGTGGTCACCAGACATTGTATTTGGAGTGGAGGCTATCATATTCAGTTGTCATCTTTAGATATTTCCAGATATTTTGGTGGTTGTGACAGGGCCCATCTCTTTGCTTCAGTGATTTATTTATTCAGTGGGGTCCTCAGAGTTCCTGTTTTTACAGACTCCTGAGTTCTTGAGTCCTTAACATCATAACCTCCAACAGAAAGTGAGCTTTCTTTTTTTGATTATTTAATACCTTTTTACCTTTATTTTCACAGTGTTCATGGGTGCCTCTTATCAATAATTCCATTTCATGAAAAATGTCAAGGTTTTGAAGTTTTTTTCCTCAGTCCTATAAGAACAAACACAAGATATCTGAATCTTTTATGGGGAAAAAGAGGAACGCTACAGGACAGAGAGCAACATATTAGAATGGCCAATAGTTTAGTTGTTCAGGCACATGTCTGAGACATGAGAGAATCAGGTTCAGTTCTGTTCTCTACCTCATTTAGAGCAGAAACTGGAATCTCAGTCTTACAAATCTCTATTAGTTGTCTAGGCAATTATCTAACTGGGGTGCCTCTGACCTTCCCCCCTACTCAAAACAACAAGAGTTCTCACACATGTTCTTAAAAGATTTAGAACTTTTGCTTCAGAGCTGAAAATCCCTCCCTAATGGAAGTGATATATTTGAGCAAATGTTTAGGTTTTGATGAAATGGCATTTCTCAACAGAAAATTGTATTTGTAAAATTTGCAAACAGCTCTGGGTTACTGCCTCTTTTTCCTTCATCTCTTTCCTTTGTCTCTTCATCCCCAAATATTATTCAAATAGGAGTTTGGGCCATGACTCCTTAAAGAATTTGTATTTAATACTTCCTTAATGTAGAATCTAAATTATTTTTGGTAATCTACGTAGAGATTATGTATAATACAATTAATTGATATAAGTGGTTTCAATTCTCCTTAATATGACAAATCTCTGGTGTGAAATATTCTTAGTTAATGATCAACATAAAATAGATAGAGTTCATTTTTAATGCAAGTACAAGATTTGAATTAATTTGTAGTTAGAGCAGAGTTATTAAACTGTATAATATATACACACACACACACATCCCATTCTTTTGTTTTTTGAAGTTCTTTCACATGTAAAAGATAATGTGACATAGTTGGTGTCTTTCAATCTACCTTTATTTACATGTTCTACTCTTGACAGAAAAGCATTTAAAAATTCTTCAAAGGTTCACCTCCTCCTCCATCTTTCAGTACTTTTGTCATAGATTTACACTGGAAATTAGCATTTCAGTTTATATTGGGCCAGATTTTCAACCAGCATAAATTTTCCTAGCCTCATTATCTTCAATGGGACATAGGTAGGGAGACCATATGCCCATAGGTGGTGGAAGGCCGGGGCTAACAGGGCCTAGTCCTCCCAAACACGGGCAGTGGTGGCAGCGCAGAGGGCCGCAGGGCAGCCTGGGTGTGGGCTCCAGGCAGCTGCAGTGAAGTGGGGGAAGGGGCGTGCAGAGACTCAGACATGCAGGCTATGCCACAGTGGTGGCCTGCCTCAGCCCCACACACAAATCCAGGGGGCACGTGCCTCCCATGGTGCACACATCAGCAGGAGCCCTGCCACACCCCTGGATGAGCTGCCTGGGCTCCACCCATCCCAACACCTGCCCTCCTGCCTCTTCCCCACTCCCTCACTCCCTGTTCAGGTCTCAGTATGCCCCCCCCTTCCCTCTCCTTTGCTCCTTTCATTCCAGAGACTTACCTGCTGGGCAGGGGGGGTGTGTGTGTGTGTGTGTGTGTGTGTGTGTGTGTGTGTGTGTGCGTGCATGCACACAGGTGCACACACACGTGTGCTCAGCCCCCCCAAATGATATTTTCTCCCTTCACCTATGCATATGGCCCAGTTTCTCTGGAACAGTTCTGGATTTCATAGTGTCCTGGTATCTGGGTCAGTAGATGAACATTTGGACAAATGTCTTGGATTGGTGCCACCCCACTCTCACATGCTTGGTCCAGCTCCTCCCGAGTGTGGGCTGTTCATATGTGTGCAAAACCCCTCAGACCATGGTGCCCTGGGTGGTTGCTCACACTGCCCACTCGTAAAGCTGTCCCTGACTGACTCTGCTGTGTGTGAGAAGTTTGCAGCCCAGTGCAATCAGGACCAGATAGGCACTGTCATATGAAGCTCAGGTGAGGAAGGGGCTTCCTAGGGGGATGGGGTTTGGGTGGCTTTGTAGTTTCATAGTTGGTACGGTTGGAAGGCACCTGAGCAGATCATCAAGTCCAACCCCCTGCCATGGGCCGGAGAGAATGCTGGGGTCAAATGACCCCAGCTAAGGTGATTATCTAGCCTCCTTTTGAAGATCCCCAAGGTAGGAGCAAGCACCATTTCCCCTGGAAGCTGGTTCCAGATCCTAGCTGCCCTGACTGTGAAGTAGTGCCTCCTGATGTCTAGTCTGAACCCACTCTCAGTCAGCTTGTGGTCGTTATTCCTAGTTACTCCTGCTAGTGCTTGGGGGAACAGGGACTCTCCCATTCCCCACTGGTCCCCCCTGGTAATTTTATAGATGGCTACCAGATTCCCCCTCAGCCTTCTCTTGTGGAGGCTGAACAGGTTCAGATCCCATAGCCTCTCCTTGTAGGGCCTGCCTTGCTGCCCCCTGACCATGCGAGTGGTCGTTGTTTGGACCCTCTTGATGCTGTCCACATCCCTCTTGAAGTGCAGTGCCCAGAACTGGATGAAGTACTCCAACTGCGGCCTGACCAGTGTCACATAGAGGGGGATGATCACCTCCTTGGACCTTCTTG